GCCAAACTGGAATCCATGAAGTAGTTATGTTCAGGAAAAAAATTAATTTAGTGTATTTTTTAATAAATTTTTAAATATGTAAACAATTCTAATTGTTAACCTTTATAATAACCTTTATAATCTTTGTTTCCATCCTTGTTTATGCAGCATGTCTTATTAAATGTATTTTCTTAGTACTTGTACTTAGTACTTAGAAATTGTTTATGTTCAACCCTCATCATGGTATACATTTTCTCATTGTATTGACTTTGGCTAAGACAAATAAATAAGCAAATTTAAATAAGCAAAGATGAACATGCTGTCTTTTTTTTTTTTTTTAGACTGTAGAGTGACTGTCATGTTTTTTTCTGTGTATTGTTATAAATACCAGTGGAAGATGTCTCGCAGTACTTGCTGTGTTTGCTCATGAGTTGTAATTCACGACGATCAGCTGGTCCCAGTATCTGCTCCTTTCAGAATTTTGTGTCTGAATTGCAGCACTCCTTTTTAAAGAAAACTTGGAAATTTTCATTCACTATGACATCTGGAGACTGCTTGCAATTTTCTGTGAGGGAAACGCTATCTTGATGCTACTCCTTCTTTAGAACTAATGGCTATGAGGAAAACTCACAGTCAGTATCCAAAACCACACTTCTGGCTCTTCAAAGCTGTGCACCAGAGAGTCCACTCCATTTCTCCTCCTTCCTCTCAGAGATTTCCCTGGCTACTCACTTATTATCACTCACTAGGCACCTCAATTTCTGACCATTTCTTTAGATCAAAAGTAGATTAAGCTGGTACTAAACCCACAAAACTTGAGGTGAATGAAGGAGCATTTCTGTGGTAACAGAGCTTTGAAAAATCTGTTAGGTGAGCGTTTCTCTGTGTGTTGGGCAAGAGGTGAGACAAAGCATGGGAGAGAAGCAGAGACACTTTACATGTGCCTTAGAGGGAGAAATCAAACACACCTGAAAGAGAAACTGAAAGAGGAATGCAAGATGATGTTGGAATAATTTATTGTACTGGGAAGAAAATTAAGGCCCTTATATAGAACAGCCTGAATGTAGGAGGGGAAGAGATCTGCCAAATACACTAGCAGAATTCATCGTGCTGAAATCCCCCATATGTTTGTTTAAATGTGTTTGTGTATACACTGTATATTTAAACGTATTAAACAAGCAACATTAAATCAACACCAGGGATTTTGGAGTTAGCAAAACTTACAGAAAACAACACCCCAACCCTTGTCTCACACATTTCTAGGCAACTTCCATTCCAGTTGAGCTTTGGCCACACAAATCTCCCTATGGAAGCAGGCAGCATCTCTGTATTCCTCCCATGTCACTTGACCTTGCCTCTATTGGCCATATAAATTCTATCTTTTTGCTTTAGTTTCAAAAGAAGATCCTTGTTCAGCCAAGCTGGCCTTCTGTATTGGCTGCTTTAGACATTTTGGAATTTCCTTCTTCTCTACCAACAGAGTAACCTAACCTGTGTTTACAATCTGCAAGATGACTCATTATGCTGTGGTCTAGCACCCTCCCTTTACTTAATCCCTGGACTGTGGAAAAGATGGGGGTTTTTCTTGTATTTTGAGAAAGTTATTAGCTTAGGAAATATGGAGAATCAAATTTCCCTAGAATGATGTAGCTTTTAAAGAGCATCATGGTATAAGGAAAGGAATTAAAAGGTTTGGAAAAAAAAAATTGCTTCAGTTCCCATTACGCTTCAGTTATGTGCTGAGATATATCTCATTTATCTTTAGTTCACTTAAACCAATAAAGAAACAATGTGTTCATCTAAGCTTATTTAATTGGCAACCAAGACTAAGAACTACATCCATTCCAGTACCTCAGTTTTGAACATAGAAGTGAAGCCAGATAGAATAAATTTATACTTTTTTTTGGAGGTACTCATGTGACTTTGTTGACTAGTTTTGTCAACAAGCAAAAAGACAGTCTTAAATTGCATGTTTAGCTTTTAAGTCACGTGAAATGACTACATATTGTTTAGGAATTAATAACATAAAATTAATTTTCCATGTCATATGATTTTGTGGTTCGGTTTGTTTCCAGGCCCATACTCCTATTCCATGCTGCAGAAGAAGTGTCTGCTTTTTAGAGAGCCACAAAGACTTCTCTGAGATGAAAATAAGGTCCAGCTGCAGAGGTTCTAGGAGGTGTTTCTTATAGGTGCTATGGAAAGGCTTAAACCCTTTTCCACCCTGTGCAGACCTTTCAGTCTCAAACCCCTCACTGTTGTGCAGCTTGCCAGGGCAGCTCTACCTGTCCCTTTGGCACTGACCTGTAAACAAAGTGCTTTGGTTCCAAAAATGATATACCATATGAATCATTTTAGGCCATTTCACCAAATACGATAACAATTACTATGCATTATGGTTACACGGCAGCACAGGGAATATAGAGGAGATTTGGGCTCATTGTTTAGTTTAATTTGGTTCATAGATTATTTAATTAGGTACATAATAAAGCTGTGAAGAACATTGGAGTTACCACAGAATTATGTGAATGAAGCTGAGTTCTGAGAATACCTTTCTGGAAATACTGGTGTAAAAATGTTTTTAATGTTTGACCTTCCCTAGGAGAAGACAGAATTAGGAATTAGGTATCTCAAAATACAGTCCCTGGAAAGAACAAAACACTAGAAACTTCATAATCCAGTTACATCCCAAACCCCAAGAGGCTGGCAGGTGATTTATGAATGGCTGGAAGAAAGTTTTACAGACAACTTGGCTGCTAAAATACCTGAACTGCTAATGTGTTATAAGAAATGGCTCCACCATTCCACAAGCTAGTTTCCATACTAAACCTATGGATTTTTCTCTTGGTGTCTTCTTAGGTTATAGTTTCATCTTCATGGGCTGAATATGTGGTCCTGGAAGATACTCAGAGATTAAATCTTACTTCAGGCACATATTTTACTTTTAAATTTATTCTCACTCTTAACAATATTTATACACATCAGAAGTTATTTTGTGTTTACATAGGTGGTTAACTGATATTAACTCTGAGTAATCCATTTGTACTCTAAACTAAATGTATTTAATCTATATTTGGACAGCATCGGTATTTAATCCTTAGCTGCTTTTATAGTCAGTGGAAAGATATGAACAAATTTACAGCAAGTGAATTATCTTTTTCTTATGTAGACACATATAATAAGTCAGATAAACCTAACTGAAAGTCCTTCCACTGTCTGGAAATTTTTATGGATCTTTTAAATCTACAATTTAGAAATTTTAAGAAGCTGAGTTTAAATGAGTCATTTTCTTGCATCTAGACAACGATGATTTGGATAACATGTGGCATAAACCAGAATTTTGACTCCTTTCTGAATGAAACTGCAACCCCTTTTAAAGATAAATTCCTCACTAAAGAAGTGAATTTTCATCACATAATTTACATCCCATTAAATATAACTTACAAATATTTTCCTTTTTTTTTCCCCTTACTTACATAAGGCCTGCTATCTATACACATCTGTCTGATCTGAGAGAGGGAGAGCATCTTGGAATCCAAACCAGTGTTGGACATGGGTGAAATATTTCCACAGCTGGATCTCAAAATTGAGCTGTATATTTTAGGCAGGTCTATTTTCCTAAGTCAAAGTATAGCATATATATAGTCATAATTTTGTGTGTTATTTATTCTCCTGTTCTGTGAAGAACTTACATATTTCAATATTTTACCTGAAGTCTGCTTTGAGTATTTTCAGAGGCTAAGTAAAAATGTGGATAAATTTAGGTTATTGATATCCCTTTAAAATCTTGCATAATTTGCTCAGTGAGCCATATCTTAATATTATCTCCATAATATGGGCAACAGTTTAACAGACTTAAATATACCTTTGTGTATAAGCAATTTGTTACTATTTTATACCCTAAAGTCCTGTGAAAGTTCACCAAAGGAAGATACAGGGTCACAAAACACTGGAACAAATCGGATCACAGTGGTGTTGGTTGCAGACTGATGACTCCCCAATGTCCTCTGTAAGAATGAACAATATTAAGGAAATAAATTTGCTTGCCTTTATTATCTAGCATGACTAATATGAATCAGTTTACTGCGCAACAGTTTTAATCAAGTTGTATAAAATATCTCCAAAGAGAGAAGCATGAATACAGCAGACAGAGAGCATTCCTATATATTCCTAATCTATGTTCAAGATCAGGTTATTCTTAACAAATATGTTTCCTTGGTTCCCTTTCTCACTCACTTAAAGATGTCTCTGTGGATGTGTCCTTGTGCTACAAATTAAAATTCAGTTGCTTATGTGGCAACCAGCTGAAAAGTAAGACAAACATTTAAATGGAAAGTATGAATTTGAAGCCACAAGTGCCCTCAAGGTTTTGTGCTTGTACATATTGTGTTGACAGCAATAAGAAAGCCATTCCATGTCTACCCTACCTTCCCTGACAAAAAGATATACTCTTTAAAAAAAACCCAACTTTTTCAAGTGGTGATGATAAATTCTCACTGCCTTGTCTGTATTTCTTTCTGACAGACTATGCCTCTTCTCCAGTAACAGTGGAATACTTTGGCCACTTCCAAAATGTGAACAGATTTCACAGTGGGAAAGCATGATGAACAAGTTTACTGACAATATGCACAGAGTTGTGCCTACATTGAAGTAAGGTTTGCAATTTGAGTTCAACCATATTATTAGAATCCTACAGGGAAGAGACAGGAAATTAAAAGGAACCTAGCCTACGGCAACAAAGCTATGTATTTGTTTTTTCCCACTCCAATGGCAAATAGTTGCACTTGGCTTTAGGGAGGCGCTTTATATTCACATTTAATAGTCCTTTAATAGATACTGTGTTTGGTCTCTCTTCCTCCACTGGAAAGCTCCTATCCTTTCAAGCTAACTGATATGCACTCATTGCACTGTTTATTTCAAGTTCCATTTCACTGCTCTTACCATAATGGCTATTTAGGATTGTTATTGTGATTCATATTGCATTATGAGCATTATATGCCATTAACTTTGTGGCAGTATCCCTTCTCCACAAATAGATTTGAAATAAGCCATATGCCTATCTGATAATGAGTAAAATTTCACCATCATGTATACATTGCATTCTGGGTTGGATACTTCTGAATTGGATAAGAAGACCTTCAACTATTTTTTCATTTTATTTAAGTTATATTTCATATATTTGTTTTTTTCTTTCCTCTCAGTCTCTCAGTCCTGGTCAAGAAAGACAGTATAAATCCAGCTTCAGCAAAAGTACAGGTATCAGCTACCCCTGATATCAGCTACCCATAATTTAATTTTTTCAAATTTCATCATAAAGTTTTGCTCTCCTGAGCTTCTTTTTATTTTCTAGTTATCTTCAGAGAGAGAGTATAAAGGTAAGTTATAAAAGGAGCAAATTAAGTTCCTGTGGTTTAGCACAAATAATTGGTTAACAAATGCTGAAGAACTCATTAGATAGTAGACCATTTTGTACAAGTATTTGATATTAAGGTAAAAATTTGAATGGTAATTTTAATGAAAAATACAAAGAAAATTAGCAACTGCACACATTTATTTAATGTTGAAGATAGAGCAACTAATGAAGATTTATTTGCCCTAATGTCAATATCCCTCGAGAATTACAACTAAGTACATAATAGGTAATCTTCTCTAAGCATTTCCTACACATATTTCTTCATAACTCCAGTCCCCAAGATTATTTTTAGTCCCTCAGAAAAATAAAATGAGACCAGTAACAAAGGTAATAACAAATTGCAATGTGTCACAGCAAGAGAGCAGGAGAGATCCAGGGTATGTCATTCAATAGCAGGGGATTTGTTATATGAAAATGCCTGGATAGTTGTGGGAAATAGGTCAAAACCCACAGAATAGGGAAAGCTAAAATGCTTTCAACTGCTTTTATAGATTTCCCTTGGGGAAAACTCCTGACTCTCAGACATTAGATTAAATAAACCTTGAACATGCAAATTTATTAGACCAATAATTAAGAGTTTTGGGAACTTATATTCTGTGAGAAACTAGTCTAAAGAATAAGAAATTTGGCAGCTTAATGAGGAAACTATATTAAAAGCATAATCACAGGCCACAAATACTGAAAGAATAGGAAGTTTAGAAAAAAACCCACAGCTTGGGTAAAGTATTGACTGTTTAAGGATTTTAATTGCATGAAGGGAATATATGGAACACAGAAAAAGAGGTCAAATTGTTAAGGACAAAATACGTGGAAAAAATTTGTAAAAGACCAAGATGTAAAATAAGACACAACTGGCAAGAGTTATAAAGAACAACAGGAAGATATTCAGTAAGCAGGTTAGTATCAAGATGAAGATAAAAGGAAATTCTGAGCAGAACGAAGAACTGATTATGATACCAAGAATGCTGAAGTGTTTAATGTTCTTTTTAGCTTCAGATATTGCTAAAAAGATTGTCTGAGATCAGGGAGCTGACACATAATCAACAAGAAGGGGGTAAAGATTCAGTCTGGAGAAAGGAAAAGTACATTAAAGAGCTCTAATATAAGTTAGAAGTTTTATGTTGGATAGTCCAATTGAATTTTACTCAGAAAACTTTAAAGACTTGCTGAAACCATACAGAATTCATGAAAGGTTATGAAGTTTTGGAGAGCTGGGAAAAAAAAGAAAATCACGGTTCTCATCTTCAAAAAGGTGAAAAACTAGGAATAGAGAATTATGTGTGAGTTAGCTTTAGTTCCTTTTGAAAAAAGGTGGAACAAATATTCAAACAATTTATAAGCATCTAGAGATAGCATAAGAGTAGGCTAACTGCAAGCACAGATTTCTTGGGAACAAAGCTTGTCAGAATAATCTAATTTCCTTTTTGTGATAGGATAACAGCCTTACAGATAAAGGAGAAGAAACATATATGTTGGATATTTTGAATTTACAAAATCTTTTGAAGCTGCTTTATTGTGACACTTATAAGCAAAAGATAAGATTAAGATGATTAGTATTAAAGATGTGCAAAATTATCAGATGTGCCCAAAAAGTCTTAAAAAGTGATTTTCTATCAAATCAGAAGTTAGTATTTAGGCAGGTTCTGCAGAAGTTTTCTCATGTCTTGTATAGTTCTGGCTTTTCATGAATGATTTAAATACAGAAATACAGGAGAAACTTTTCACAAATGCTCAACTGGGAAGTGGAAGACAAATGGATAAACTGATATTTACCACAGAAAATTTAGAAGTTTAGGACAAGGTACAATGGGCACCAATGGAAGCACTTGAAATTCCATCTGAATATGAGGGAAAATTTGTTTACTGCAGAGGTGACAGAGCACTGAACCAGGCTGCCCAGAAAGGCTGTGGATTCTCCTTCCCTGGAGATACTGAAAACCCACCTGGATGCAATCCTGTGCAACTTGTAGGTCGCATACTGGGAATGTCATGATGTTCTACTGTCCTGAGTAACAGAAAAAGAAATTCTGTGCATAAGGTATGTAAGTTAAACTTTCTGCACTGCTTGGCTCTAATAAGACTGCAGCTAGAGTTCTGATCCAGTTCTGCCCCTTGAGTGAAGGTGAAGGTAAATCAGAGAGCCTTAAATCCAACACAGTGTAATGAGAAATGGGCTTTAAAAGTATAAATAGTTGCTGTGTATTGTTTTGTTCAGTCAGAGAGCAACAAACAGAAAAACAGATTATGCCTTTTTGAGGTGGCATAATCATGAACCACAGATTTATTTGCTTTTATTGAAGAATCACATTCCCACTGCCAGCAAAAATATACCAGTAGATAATTAGACTACCTTTTTCTATACACAGATCTTAGTTTGAAATTAAATAGGGCAAAATATTATTACTAAATTCTCATAAATATTGTGTTCAGAAAATGCTATTCCATAAATTTTATGCTCATATCTGATTTTGTTCTTCATGGGTATTTTGTCAGAAAATAGAATGTAAAAATGTACAAGTCTGACAAGTCTTAGGAAGCGACAGTTTCCTTTCTCAAAGAGTTCCTATTAAAGAACAATGAATGAACCAGGGAATATTATTTGGAAAAAATGAACAAAACTCGTCTAGAGTTTCTAGATAAATATCTATTGATGATGTAGACAAATACCTTCAGATCTAATCTTGACAATAGAGCAGAAGCAGAGAACTGTGATTTTTATAAAATTTTATAAATTTTATATAATTTATATAATTTTAGAAATTTTATAGGAGTGCTTCTATTGCAAGCTTGTTCTATTTGTGCAAGTCTCTCTTTTCTTGCAGTCTGACAGCCTGCCCCCATTGTCACACAGGCAGGATGTCACCCACATCATCTGAGATGACACGTAGTCCGTGTTTCTGCCATGTGAAGTGTGATTCTCTCAGCTCACACTCATGTTGCTGGAGCCAAGGAGTGACACAACTCTCATCTGCATTCAAAATTCATTTGCACGATTGACTTGACATTGAGTTCTTGATAGTCCACCAGAGCCATGGCAACGTTGCTGACCCTGTGTTCACTCTCAGGGATCAGGTGAATCACCATTTGGCTTCATTGCTGCTCATCTTTCCTAGTGCCTCAATAAAGTTCTGGTTATAACCTGTTGTCAGACTCCATTACTGTTCAGACCAGAGACACAGTTGTTCTCTGAAGAAGCTGGTAGTTTGTTTCACGTTGATTAGCAAGACTGCTGTTGAGAAAAGATTAGGGAGCCCCATCACTAGAATAAAATATGCTGATTATTAGGATTGAATAAGAATACTTATCAAAAAAAATGTGAGATTATGTTCATGCTTTAATATTAATATCTGGCATTATAATTAATTCTATTTGCCCTGTATATTATTATCTGTCTGTACATGTAAAAAGAACTCAAGTTCAAAGAGAGGTCTATCCTTCATCACAAAGCATAAATAACGCCCACTAAAATCCCTGTGTTTTCAGCAGGAAAATAGCACAAATAAAGCTTTTTTGAAAAAATATACAATTGTGACATTAAGTATCAAATCTGGTGTTAATACGTTTAATATCAGCAGCACCAGCATTTTAATGAGCAAAATATGGTAGTTTCTGGTACCTTATTCCACAAGCATTTTTGAGAATGTTGTCGTACATGTTACAATCACTCAACATGCCCTGGGATTTGTTTATAATATGAGACAATAAATGCATATGTATTTTGAAAAATGAGATTTATGGAAATATTAGTGATAAAATATGCAAGAAAGTATGCATACATATACTCCAAAATTAGACAAAATAAGACAAAGACAAAAATTTTCTCTCTGGTGTCATGTAATCCAATGAGTGAAATGTTTGATGAAACTTTATTCTATTTCCAAACAGAAAACAGGTGAAACCAGTCAGAAAATGCATGTTTCAAGTACGAGGACTTTTAAGAACTTAGGATTTGTTTTACAGAACTGATGTATCCAAAGAAACCTCAAACCCACCAAAAAAACCCCAAACAAAACCAAAACACCTAAACACATAAGGAAAGGGGAAATGGCTTTTTAAAAATCAATTAAAATGATTACGCTAAATAGAAAACTGAGATTGACTATGTAAATGAATTTGGAGGTTTATTCAGGCAAGTTAGGCTGCAGATACATTTCTATGGCTGAAATTCCTTGTGGAATAACTAAAACATATACTACACCATTGTGCACAAAGTAGCAGGGAAGATATTGTTCTTCTACATGCTTTTCTCCACGGTGCTCTTCTTCAGCAATTATCTAGAAGAGCTTTAGCGCAAGTTAATAGTGACGTTCATATGCCTAAGCAATAAGTTAAAATTATAAACATGGTGGTGATGTACAGACAAAAAAATATATTTAGTAACTTGGGGGAAAAAATGCCCAGGAAGACTTTTAACCCAGAATATGAGCAGAATGGGTCAAATGGACATTTATCAGCTCCCTATTAGATCCCATCTGAAGACACTCAGCTACATCTGAATAATTTCTTTTGAATTAAAGTCTCCATTCAGCAAGGAAAGATGACCTTAGCTTGAAAACTGTCTTTCAGTGATAGAGACTCCTGTAAAGAAACATACTGGTCCCTCACTTCTCCAGGTCAGCTCCTTGATCACCCTTTAAGCCATACTAGCTCTGGTTGCAGAAATTAACTTCACTGTGTACCCCTTTAGGCTCAGTTGACAAATGCAAATATGTTGGCAGATAAAATGCATGCAAAACCCCCTTCAAAATCATCCTTTTGTGCACCTTTTGGATTGAAGGACTGTAAGCTTATGACATGGAATGTAGTCCAGATCTGTTTTTAAGCAGGTTATTCTCCAGTTGGGTTTCCTTGAAACGCAAATTTTGATTTTTCAACAGGTAAATAAGAGGCTATGGTAAGTACCATCACATAGATTACCAAGTTGGTTTTATTAATTTGTAAATAATTATTTGCATTAAATGCTTTATAGACATTTCCTTTTAAGAAACAGCACTCAGGTGATCATATAAAAAAGTGGTACTTGTCAGATCTTCTTTAGCAGGTTTGGGATACTTATGTGAAGAAACTACAAAAGCATCAGAATTGACATGAGAAAGCAGCAGAAGCTGTGATACATTTTTAAGGAAAAGGCCAATCATTTTCTCTTTTTTGTTCATGTAGAAAAATAATTGTCACTTTTACCCTCTGAACTCATTTCTTGCTTGTAGCTCATAACCTTCTCCCGTGGACATGTCTGAAATATATTTCATCCAGAAATGTAATCGGGGGGGAGCAAGATCCTGTAGTCTACACTTCATCTCACTGAGAGTCAGGTGTGAAGTGGAGTCAGAAGCTTTTGCTATGAAGATGATTCTCTTGGGACAGTCTGAAAGAAATTCTCAAACTATCAAGACCAGAGTAAGAAAATTGTGTTAAAACAGAAGGAGTAGCTTATCTGACACTGCTAGCTTGAAAACAGATGAGGCAGATTTGAGCTTTAAGTGCAGACAGATTTTTAAGAACACTTTTGCTCCCTGTATCCCAAGATATTTTCCTCCAGGTTATGCTCAGTTATACTTTGTGATTTATTTAATCAAAAAGTGTTATAATTTCCTGTCATATTGAAAGATTTTATGAAAGCATCTCACCATATTGCTGCATGACCAGGTGCACCATTTAAGGGAAATGAATCAATGACTAATATACTTCTGCATCTTTTCTGATGTGTTTTGTTAATTACTGTTGTTTCTAGCCATTTTCCCCATTTTTCCTATTGTAAAAAGTCCAGTAAATTATTTGTTTTCCATTTCTGTTCTTTGGGTTTTTTTTGTTTATTTAATTGTTTTAGTTTGGGGTTTTTTGTTGGTTTGTTCTTGTTGTTGTTGTTTTGTTTGGTTTTTTCCCCTTCTATAGCAATCATTTTGCACAGGAGATGTTAGATACAAATTAGCTCTATCACTCTCCACTCTGTATGCCTGAGCATGTCTGAGTGTTTGTGCATGTTTGTGCATGTCTGTATTTGTGCTCCAGCCTTGCAAAGATACAGGAAAGATCCTTACTCTATTTAAAACACAACACTTTATTTATTATTGCTATAGACCAAGGAATCTGTCACATTGATATCACACAGCAGGCAGACAATAGTTCTGTTTTACATGACCCCAATGTGATTGCACCTGCAAGAGTAAGTTCAGTTCTGGGAACCACAATATCACACATATATTAACAAATCACAGGGAGTTCAGAAAAGTGCAACAAAAAATGATTAAGTGTTCAAAATGAATGAAAGGTAAAGAAATAATCATAACATGGCCAAGTAGTGAAAATTACAACATGTAATGGAAATAAATCTCAACAGGAGCTTTTACAAATGGTGTGAGCTAAAGGAAAGCTTGAGGTACCCCTCAGCAGGTACCCCTGAAAGAAGCAGCTAAGGTTAAATCTACAAAAAATGATATTACAGATATATTTCTTATAATTCCTATATTTCTTATAATTTTGAAAAAAAATGTAAGGAAGATACCATAAAAGTTATTAGGGTGGAAGAAACACAGTAGGTCATCTACCCAAGCTGCTCATTAAAGCAGTACATCCTCCTCTTTCCTCCTCCTGTTGGTGCTGTTAATGCATTTTGGTCCCATGTGGTCTGGTCCGATGGATTTGTATATGTAAAACTTGCTATAGCAATCACTAAGACATGCTCCATCTGGTCCTCTGGTACCTTCTGAAGCACTTCTTCACCCTGTACTCTGCTACTAGGGACAGGAACTTGGACAGATTGAGGTAGAGACAGTGCTGAGTTGATAAGATGCAGAATACTTCAAGTTTTTTAATGTCTTATCTATCTAGATATCTCTCACATTCAGCAGCAGCCACCTACTTTGCTTTATGCCACTTCTATTTCTTTAATTACCTATAGAATTTAGAATTTAATTACTTATAGAATTTTATTTCTTGTTCCCTTTTACCCCTCTTGCCATTTTCAACATCAGCTGCTCTTTAGTTTTATTAGTTCTTGCTCTGGACACCTAGCCACTGTTTCTGTATTCGT